AACTGGCGACCTAAATCCCGATACATCTTAGTGCCTCCCGGATGCACCGCAAGATGTGAATGGTGAAACTCTCAGAGTACTTCCTCTCGGAAAGACTTCGGCACAAACAAGCGATCTTGATATCTCACACTCAGGTCGGGGTACACAGACAAATCCTTCTCCACCTTTCCACTGGAGAACTTCTCCTAGAGGGATTCTACCTCAAAGTCACCCTTATGTGCCTCTAACACTCGGTTCACAAGTGTAGGCTGTGCAACTACAAAAAACAAGGCCGCAGATTCAACAGACTTGCTCAGATCTAAGTCAAACTCACCAAGAGCACCCAATATCTCCCATTCCTGGATAGCAATACAAGCTACACTATTGATGGATTTCCTACTTAGGGCATCGGCCACAACATTGGCCTTCCCCGAATGATAGTGCAACTCAAAGTCGTAATCCTCTATAAATTCCATCCATCTTCTTTGCCTCAAATTTAAGTCCTTCTGTGTAAACAGATACTTCAAACTCTTATGATCAGAAAATACCTCAAACCTCTCACCATAAAGATAGTGCCTTCAAATCTTCAAGGCAAATATCACAGCTGCCAACTCTAGGTCGTCAGTAGGGTTGTTCCTTTCGTGTGTTTTCAACTGCCGCGAGGCATAGGCTACTGCTTTCCCTCCTTGCATCAATACACAACCCAAACCCTCTCGTGGGGTATCACAATACACTGCATAACCCAAACCCCTCTCCAGAATAATCAAGACTGGAGCGGTAGTATGTCTAACTTTAAGCTCTTTGAATGACTTTTCACAAGTCTGACTCCATACAAACTTGACCCCTTTCCGCGTCAATCTAGTCAAAGGTGAAGCTAGCCTGGAGAAATCCTTCACAAACCAACGGTAATACCGGCTAACCCCAAGAAACTACGAATCTCGAAGACATTCTTAGATTGTGCCCAATCTTGCACTGCCTCTATCTTGGATAAATCTACAGTCACCCTTTTCCCGGATACCACATGGCCTAAGAACTTAACCTCTCTTAGCCAAAACTCACACTTCCCAAACTTAGCATACAGTTTATTGCTCTAAGCAACTCAAGCACCACTCGTAGGTGTTCCTCGTACTCCTCCTCAGAAGGTAAATAAATCAGAATGTCGTCCACAAAACAACCACAAAGCGATCTAAGAACTCCCGAAAGATCCGGTTCATTAAGTTCATAAACACAGTCGGTGCATTGGTGAGCCCAAAAGGCATCACCAGAAACTCATAATGGCCGTACCGCGTACGGAATGTC